GGCATCATTTTTTAAATATTGAGAAAGTTTTCTGAAAGGTTTTCCATAGACTGGATCTCTGGAAAACTCCTTAGAAAACTTTTCCAAAACCCAACTCTCATGGCATTAGAAAGACGATCATGAAAAACCTATAAAAAAATGGTTCATGAAATTTTAGTTCACTCATAAAGCTAAAGTCCGCCTGCTCTAGCAAAAAATGCCCACTGCGCCCAGGTCGCTAGCTTTTGTTGTTAAAACGTTACTCGAAAAACATCCACCTGCACGGTTCATTGAAATGGATAGTAGATGTGATGCTAAAGTCGCTCCTCGATTGGAAAGCCTCAACAACTATCTCATTACCAAATGCCACCCGCTCATCGGTACAATGGTGGAATTCAAATATACCTTCTCAACTGCGGTTTTATCTCAAATCTTGCCAGGCGTTCAGATCATTCAGTTTATTCCGCATTTTGTTATATGCACTCCGCAGGCTGTTATAAGCCGTTTCCCACAATCAAATACGAACAGAAAACGACTGATATTGCTGCTGACAGCCGATTTTCCAGTTCTTTATTGGTAATTCAAAATCCAATTTTGGTTACTGAACAACAATGAATAGATATAGCAACTACTCTGAGGAGCAGAAAGTGACTTTGTCGTTAAGTTATTTGTGCGCTCTCTGACATCAACTTACATAATATTAAAAATACGAAATATTTCATGAAAAACTCCATAAATTATTCTCATAAAAAGAAGTTGTGGTTATGAAATGTTCAGTTTGTGATCTCAAATCCTTCCGAATTCCTAGATGTGTCGAAGATCCATCTGAAGAAGCGTTCGCAAACCGTTGAATACTGAAATTGCGACAGGTAAAAGTTGTTTTGGTAGGAAAAAGACAATGAACATGAATGAATATGGCACAAACTTGAGCATCGTGAGTATCATGGGAAACCGGTATTAGAATATTGGATCAACGTGATGACAAGATAGATAATTTCATCATAGATGCACGACGGCATGCCGAACTACAACGAAAATAGAATAGGTACAAGAAAATCTTGATTGTTTTACTAGCTGTTCAAGCAGCACACAATAGATATCAGAACAACGGGGAAAAAGTACTACTTCACCACTTCACTTGAAGTTGTTGAAGTGTCCATGAAGTGAACTAGTGAAGTGGAAATGAAGAACATGCAGATGAGTAAATAAATTAGAGGGGTGTTAGCCGGTGTATTTTTGCTTGGAGTAGAGATGAGCAAAGTTTAAGCCCTAAGGATTAATTAAGGCCAATCCACACCTTACATGCATGTAGTAAATAGAACTCAGAGCATTGCAGAAATAGTTTTGTTAGGCACAAAAAAATCGGAAAAATCGAATGAAATAACAATGTGACAAATTGATTTGGCTAGAAGTGAAGGGAGTTTTATGTGAAGTGAAGTTAAGAGTCGAAGTGGTGCTTTTCCTTTGTACCAGAGCGATTGCAAAGATAAAGTTTTGTTTTAGTGATATGCCATAATAAAATGAGACTAGAAATAAGTTGCACATTGTAGAGGATCCCTACAGATAAATAATCATCGTCAATGAAAATGCGATAACGTTCCCTTTTCTTATCCATGTGTTTTTCTACATTGGCTAGGATGAATATTAGCAGATTTACAATCAGCATGCCAATTATACTCAAACATGAAGAAGTCACACTTTCGGTGAACTATGAGTGCAAGAATTTGTAATGCAAAAAAAACTTCCATTTTAATTTAAAAATTCTAACTTTTTAAAATGAAAAATGCAAACGAAATAGCTTACTACATAAAATTATAGAAAAACGTCTCAATTTACAGAAATAGCTTCGTTTCACGTACTATTACATTAAGTATAAATCTAACCAATCTTTTAGAAGATCACGCTTAAATGTCTTAACGCTCGGCTGAGGTGCTACAGTAGAATTGTTATTACGAGTTTGAAATAATAAATTCTTAATATCTCGTTTCGGCTTTTTATTATGAAATTTTTCATTATTTTCAGTTGCAATTTTCCATCTCTCTGTCATTAGTGCGCCAAGTTCTGAATGCACAATTGTTAGATTTTGTTTACAACTAGAACCAACGCCTTCAATTTGAATAGTATAACCTTTTTCATGTAAACCATGGGTTTCTAATACGTTATTCACCTCTTGCTGAGTGACTAGAGTTTGACGTTCTATGTAAGGATTATTTGATGTAAGTAAAATAACGAATCTTTTCTTTTCATAGTAATCACCAGCAATAATACGTGTTACAAGCCTTTCGGCTGCATCTCGAGCAGTGGATGCCGTATTTGGTCGAACTAGTTCTTCTGATAAAGTATCAATAATGCATATTTTATTATCACTATAATTTAGATAAGTTTTTAATAAATCATGAGACAGAAGAGTTTCAGTTAATTTTGATGTTTCATTCTTATCATAATTAGCATAGACTCTGTCAGGAAAACGGCCTGATGGACATTCATCTTTGGTTTTATATTCAATAAAAGGTTCTAATGAATTCAATTTAATGTTATAAAATTGAGCTAAACGCTTCATATATATTTTACCTTCATTAATACGAACAGAATTATCATCTGTAGACGACGAAAAATCTATAGTATCAATGTCAAGATTTTTTTGAGACGCTTCTAATAATTTTTCACTTACTGTAGGAGAAATTCCGTCGATATTAGCCCATAATTCACGATGACCAGCTAAAACTAGAGTTTCACCGTTTATTTTTATATTTCTAGAAACTATGTAGTAGTTAAAATCTATAATTCGTTGTGCTAATCCAATGCGAGATGCTCCTGCAATCCAACTACCATCATATTGGTCCAATGTGGGATATTCACGATCGATCAAACGTAAGACTCTTGCTTCTCTACGATAATTCTCTGCATACGTATTAATCCAATCATATGAAACAAGTTCATACCGTTCTTGTCCGACTTGACGAGTAAACGCATGTTGTGCCATGTACAATATCAAATCCATACTGTCTTGTAAATCAAGTGTATCACTCTTAAATAAATTTTTACGCATATATTTTGAATTAAATTTATTTGGATCATTTCCATCTGCGTTAGACTTTTTAATTACGATAGATAACTCTTCAAATGCTTTTTCTAGATTGTCTATACCACCGATACAATTTAAATCATGCCATACATTTGTCAACTTAAAATAACCTGCTAATTGAAATTGTTTTAGTAGAGCTTCTTGTTGGTTTTTTGAATGTCGATTAATTCTTTTACAACCTTTCAATCCCAATAATTCTGCAGCTAACATATAATTAGAAGGTTTAATTGATCGGCAATAGGCATCATAAATAAAGTAGATAATTGTTGATAATATTCCGATTCCTATTACACTTGAAAATAATTCTTTTACTATTGATTCACTCATATTTTTTCTAGAATATTTTTAAAGTGGTTGAACTTTATATAGAAGTATCAAATTTCTTAATAGAAATTGATATTTAACCAAGACACAAGATAATCTTAGCAGTGTCAGGTTCCACAATTCCATGAAAACTTCTCGAATTGACACAACTCAATATATTCACTACATACTATTATTAAAAGTCTGATAGAACTCAAATTCTAGTTCTACAGAATCTGCCAGTTGGTAAAAAAGAACTCAATATGAACTGACTACATGAGTGATTCTGATGAAAGTAGTACCGTTTATTTTCAAAAAGGATCCTGTCGGATTTCAAAAGTATGTCAAATGAGAAAGCTATATATCAGGTTTTGTAGAGTTTCTCGCGGAGGAACAAAACCTGATATATAGCTTTCTGGTTTGATATACTTTTGAAATCCGACAGGGTCTTTCGACTATTAGAAAAAGCAAACGCTTGGATAGTTGAATATCATTTGTAGATAGTGGATACCTAGTAGTACTAGAAAAAGTCAATTTACAAACTACCACTTCTTTGTGTCCTGGATTTTATTGTTCCCACCCTTTGTAGCCATTGGTAAATCGACTACAGCTGGATGAAACAGCATTATAGACAGCCGGGAAATATCTTATTTTGTTCAGAATTCTTTGCTCTGTAAGACTATTTGGTTCGTAAAATTTTCTGACCAAAAACGAAAGACTTGGTTTTCTAGCCTTCACGTTTTTCAGAAACCCTATTATCAAGTTTTCTTATAAAATGACGATTTGCACGTCATCTGATAGGAAAATCTTCGGGCTATTCAAAATAGTATTCAGATTGATACTAGCTTTTACTGAAAAATCAAAAAGAAAGAAGTTCTTCTGATTATGAAACACTGCACTGCGTATATAACACCCAAACGCTTCTTTTACATATCTTTTAATGACTGGTCCCACCTGTCTAGATATTTTGATCACTGCAGTTTGTAGAGACTTTCACGGGCTATCCAATGGTGTTCTTTCGAAAAATATATAGTTTTTCATTAAGACAGAAAAGACTTCTAAAAGGGTATTCTGCAGCTGTTTTCGGTGGTTCAACGCTTTCTTTGCATGTCTTTTGGAATCTCTGTCGTTTCGCCAAAAGACAACTTGCCGTGGCGAAAAGTCATGGGACGTTTCGCCAATTGGCGAAGTGTCTTGTGCCGTTTCGCTAATTGGCGAAAGCGTACAAATTCTTGGCGAAACGGCACTGACATTTCGCTGTGATTACGGGACAAAAAAAAATTGGATTTTGGAGCCTCATTCGAGTGGTACTAATTTTATCCGAATCACTGATATATGTCCTTTCAATTCTTCCCTATGAACCGGTCGATTCTGTTCAATTATGCTGAGATTAGAGCAATTGCTGCTGTGAGGCGATTATCCTGATTCTGATGAATTCTCGATCAATCACTCACTTCAAAATCTCGAAGTAAAACTTGTTTTCTACTTTCAAAGAAATGCAAAATAACTACTGGAAACAATTTCAAGGAGAACGTAAATAGAGTGAATGCAGAACGTGTTCTATTAAAAGTTTCTGTTTGTGGCAACAGTTTATTCAGTTACCTTTTTGATTTACCACTGTAAAAACGTGTCTTCATTTGCAATGGCATATTAATTTTTTATTTGACCTTCACAGAACTCACAGAACACAAGAAACAGAACACAATCTGTTTTGGTTTGATAGAGAGAAAAAAAAGATTAATTCTGATATGTTTGTCTTCTCTCTTTCTCTCTTTCCAAAGCGAAAGAATAAAAACAAATGAAAGAAGAAACTTTAATATCTTCTATCACCAGCTGTCTTTCATTTACAGTATTTCTTATACACACAATAAGAGAAGAGGTTGCCAGCTCATTTTGAGTATAATAGCAATAAGGGCTGACGTTCAATGGCGGACAATCTTCCAAAATTTTATTGCTTTCTAAATTCCAGCAAATTGCAGAAATCTTAATGTTGACATCTCATAACTCGTCTACGACAATTTTCTGAATAGGAAAAAGCGGTGAAATGTAGAAGTATAAAAATGTGTTTTGTGTATAAGGGATATGAGACCGTCATCATTCATCGACGCTGGTTTTTCAATACAGCATTTTGTTCTACCTAGTTCGTGTTCTGAAGGAACAATTACTTAAATTCCACTAACTCACTTCTTCCTACCATCAGCTGGTGTGACAGACAAACACACAAACAATTTTAGGAGTCTTTTCTTTCCTTCAGAATTATTTTGCTGTTGGATGAACACATTCAAATTGATAGAAATTTCAATCTGAACAGCAATCGCTGTTTCTTTTATAGAAAAAAACAAAAGAACTTTTGAAAAATTGAGTGAGGACAAACAGACGCAGAAAGAGAAAGAAGCACTATTAACATACTACCGAAAATCAATTATTTACACCTTTCAAAGTGAAAAAAGAAAAAGAAAATTAAAAAAGTAAGTTAAAAAAAGCAGAATTAGTGTTAAGAACAAAGAGCTCTTTCGGAAAGTGTGTTAAACAATTACGAACCATCTCGAAAGAACTCTATTTAAAATGTTTTCTAAATGTATTCACAAGAATTTTACTAGCTTGGCATCAGAATTTTACTTTTTCAACTATCGTCTCTTCTATCTGTTAAACTACATAGCAGATTAAGGTAAAATCTTTTTTTTGTCACAGACTGGGTCATTAAGCGATACAATGCAACAACAGTTGCAAGTGTGTTCTAGTCGTGTTTATTTTTATTTTTTAAATAAAAGTTTATACTAACCTTTTTCGTAGATACATATTCAGAAACACTATAACTTCTGAATGTTTTGAGTTTCATCAGTTGCACATATCAAAAACTTTCACAAAAGCACAAGCCTTCATAGAATTTTCAGAGAATGAAATTTTCTTGAAAGGCCTCTCAAACTTCGATAATTCCTTCGACCTAACACACTTCTCAGAGCAAATCTTGATAAGAAAGTTGCGGAAAACAATTGGGTTTCATATTCTCTATTTAGTTTTCCTTCTTGATCTGCAGAACACAAAAATAAGAGAAAATGTCACATTGACCGAGTTTCATAGTAAAACGTGCTTCTAGTACAGGAGATTTTATCTTGTTTAAGAAACGTCAAAACGTTTAGTTAAAGCTTCAAAAGATCGCTTAAATTAAAAGTCTCACAGAGATCTATTTCAAAACTAGGGGAAAATGGTGAAAACTTGTTTTTATTTAGAAGAAAACTTTTTCTGACGTTCACACTTCAGACAAATAATACATTTTGTAGAGAATTCAACTTACTCTTTAGTAGTGTAGCACTTAAAACTATGAAATAACTTAATCCGGAAATCAAAATTAAAAACCGTCAAAAAATTTAATTTGAGTGGTGTTCTTAAAGTCACTGCACGAGAGCCACCTCAGCACATGCTCAATAACCATCTCGGACCTTTTTCAAACCACTTCGATTTTTAAGGGTATATAGTACTCGATGTCTACTATATAATGACATACAAATATTACGTATCTCTTTCATCCATCACGTTGACATAAGGGCGAAACGGAGTTCTCAGACTCACTTTTGTGACGTACAGTTCTCCGAAGTTTCTACCTACAATGAGATCGGACTAGTTGCAATGGTTAGTACTCACAGTGTACTATTTAGAATCTTTATCAAAAGTTCGGTGACATTTGATTTGGTACAGAAAAATTTCCATCGAAAGTTGATGAAAAGGACGGATCCGCATAAGGTTAACAGTCTGCCCATTCACTTTTTCGACTAACAGTCGTTTCATATAGAGAAAAATCTACCAGCATTTGATTCCAGGCAAAATCGAATACATTTATTCACTAAAATCTCGCCAATTTCTCTCAAATATCATCCCAGTCGACACCTCAAAATGAGGCCTACATGATGAGTAAACGCTACTTTTGTCAGCTTTCTTAGACTCAAAAAGACTAACCAAATGCCCGAGTAGATAGCCCTTGAAATTCTGTACAATCTGAGTTGATCAGAATATCTTGAATGGTGGGCCCAGCTATCAAAGACATGCAAAAGGAGCGTTGAAGCACGAAAAACACGTGCAGAACACTTCTTTAGTCATTTTCCCTCTCGTAATGAAAAACTATATATTTTCAAAAATATACCATTCGATAACCCATGAAATTATCTACAACATGAGCTAGTTACAATATCTAGACAAGTGCATTCAATCATCAAAGATGCGCGAAAGAAGCGTTTGGGTGTTATGTATGCAGTAAAGTGTTTCGTAAACGTAAGAACTCCTTTGTTTTTGATTTTTTAGTAAAAGCTGGAACCAATCTCAATACCGATTGGATGGTTCGAAGATGTTTCTATCAGATGGGGTGCATATCACCATTTGACGAGAAAACTAGATAGAGTTTCTGGAAAACCTTAAGACTAGACAACCAAGTATTTGGTTTTCGGTCAGACATTTTTTGCAAACCGTACAGTCTTACAGAGCAAAGAATTCTGAGCAAAATAAGATATCTCCTAGGTGTCTTTTTAACTGAACTGGAGTCGATTTACAAAGGATGTAAACCACAAAATTTTCTGGCAAAAAGCCAACATATTTTATTGAAAAAGCGTAGCAAAGTAAAAGTAAACTGGCTTTTTTTTGTTTTACTTGGTAAAAAGTAAACAAAATTTTTATTTTTACTTTTTACTTTTGTAAAGTAAAACTGTTTACTTATTTTATCCGGCAAAGTATAAAAAGTAAAAGTAAAAGTGCCACCCCTATGTACCACGAAGGAAGAGTACATTAAGACCAAAAACTTGAATTTATAGGTTGTCACACATGCTCCACACAACGGAATTGGTTTGAAAAATCCGAGATGGTCACTGAGCATGTTTCTGTGGGAAGCAAGCGTTTTTCCGCAGTCCTTCACGATAGCTAGTTTCAAATTCTTTTTTGTAAATTTTTAAATTAAAATTTACGTTTTTTAAAACTTTGTAATTTCGTATTATTGACTTTTAAACACTAGAAAAAAGTTTTTCGCAAAAAGCTCTCGT